TGGGTGTAATAATTTATAGTTTTAATTTGAACATTTCACCTAAAATGTCATATGGTGTGCTTGAGTGTGACATTGTTATGTTACAGAATTACATGCTTATATTTTATAATAAAGAGGGGTATTATTTGTGCTGAACCCTATCATATGGCCACTCTGGAAAAACAGTCTAGCAATTTCTTAAAAGTTAAACATACACTTAACATATGGCTGTAGCTTTGGGTACTTACATGAAGAAATGAAAACTTTCATGCATAAACCTGTAAACTTTCAAGCATAAACCTGTAAACCAATGTTCATAGCAGCTTTTTGGGTAATAGCTAAAACTGGATACAACCCAAATATCCTCAATGGATGACTAGATAAACTGACTGTAACTATCATATAAAAATTCAACAATAAAAACAAATGATATGATGATACTCACGACTTGAATGGATCTCAAGGGCATTAGGCTGACTGACATTAGCAAATGTCAAAGAGTTACATATTAGACTTCTGCCATGATGGAGGCATAGGTGGAAGCACTATACCTTCTCGCACAACCAAGTTTAAAAACAACAAAGTTTTGAGCAACAAAAATGCAGCCAAACCACAGAAAATTGAACTATACAGAAATCTGACAACAATGATCCCTTCAGCCAAACCAGTAAGAGGGACAGAGCCAGCAGCAGAACGTGGTCGGGCAGGAAAGATCCACAGGACCGACCCAGGAGCATGACCCAGGTGCGCCAGCAGCCGTGGGCAGATCCCAGGTGTGGAGAAGCAGGTGGACCCACTGAGGGTACAAGGCGGTGGACTCACTGAGGGCTGAACACAGTCACACATTTGAGCGCAGATAAACCGGTGAAGAAGCGAGTGGTGAGACAGACCCATGCAGGCCCCAGTGGCGAGAAGTGGCAGAGGGGGCCACCATTGTCCCTCTCTGACCCCACCCCCACACATAGCGTCACAAACCAGCGACCTGGGTGACCCCGCCCTGGTGAACACCTTCTCGTATGTAACAGGCACAAACAGATCAAAACATGGCTCAAGAACAACTCAGAGCCCCAGAGCCAATAAATCTAAGTGATGAAGAAAGAGCCAAACTTTCAGATGCACAGTTCAAAACACTGGTGATCAAGAGGCTCACATAACTGGTTGATTTTAGTCACAAATTAGAGGAATATATGGAGGCTAAACTAATTGAAATGAATGGAAATGCACAGGAAACCAATAGTAATGGAAAGGAAACTGGGACTCAAATGAAAGGAATGGACCAGAAAGAGGGAAAAAATGACCAAACAGAAAAGGATGAAGAAACAAGAATTCAAAAAAAGGAGGAGAGGCTTAGGAACCTCAGGACATCTTTAAACATTCCAACATATGAATTATGGGGGTACCAGAAGGGGAAGAGGAACAGCCATGAGTGGAAAACTTATTTGAACAAATAATAAAGGAGAATTTCCCCAATCTGGCAAAGGAAATAGACTTCCAGGAAATCCAGGAAGCTCAGAGAGTCCCAAAGAAGTTGGGCCCAAGAAGGAACACACCAAGGCACATCATAATTACATTAGCCAAGATTAAAATGAAAGAGAGAATTCTAGAAGCAGCAAGAGATAAGAGGACAGTCACCTACAAAGGACTTCCCATCAGACTGTCAGTGGATTTCTCAAAAGAGACCTTATAAGGCAAGAAGGGGCTGGAAAGAAGTATTCCAAGTCATGAAATCCAAAGACCTACCACCAAGATTGCTCTATCCAGCAAAGCTTTCATTTAGAATGGAAGGACAGATAAAGTGCTTCTCAGATAAGATCAGATTCAAGGAGTTCATCATCACCAAGCCCTTATTATATGAAAAGTTAAAGGGACTTACCTAAGAAAAAGAAGATAAAAAAGATGAACAGTGAAAGGACAGCAAACTCACAGTTATTAAGAACCACACCTAAAACAAAAGCAAACTAAGAGGACAGCTAGATCAGGAGCAGAACCATAGAAATGAAGATCACAGGGAGGGTTAGCAACAGAGGAGTGGGAGAAGGAGAAGGGGGGGAGAAGGTACAGAAAATAAGTAGCATAGACGGTAGGTAGATAATAGATAGGGGGAGGGCAAGAATAGTATGGGAAATATAGAATCTAAAGAACTTGAGACACTTGGTCATAAACTAAAGGGGGGATGGTGGGGGAGGGGTGTGCAGGGTGGAGGGGGATAAAGGGGGGTATAGAACAACTGTAATGGCATAATAAAATATATATATTTAAAAGTTACATATTATATGAACCCATGTATAAAACATTCTTGAAATAACAAATTATACTACTTGAGAATAGATCAGTGGTTGCCAGGAGTTAGGGGAAGGGGTGGGGTGTGACTGTGAGGTAACGCGACAGAGCTTCTTTGTAATGATGGAACACTTCTGTGTTCTGACTGTGGTGGTGGTTATGTGAATCTGTACATGTGATAAAATTCTATGGTACTATACACACACAAAAGAATGAGTATAAAATTGGTGAAAGCTGAATAAAGTCTATCTCTACTTGTTAATAATATTGTACAAAATTTGGGAGTTTTGATTACGTGCTATGACTATATACTATCACTGGGCAAAGCTTGGTGAACGCTGTATTATTTTTGCAACTTTTTGTGTCTTAAATTCTTTCAAAAGAATTGTAAGACAAAAAAAGAGTAAAGTACTATACACTTTAAAACATGATCTCAAAAACATTTCCTGAGCTAAAGAAGACAGAAACAAAAGATACATCGCATAGTTCCCTTTATTTTAAGTTCTAAAACACGCAAACTAAAATACAATAAGGGAAATCAGATCTGTGGTTGCATGTGTGAGGAATGACTGGGAGGAAACATGAGGGAACTTTCTGGGGGGGTAGAAATATGCATTTTACTGAGGTTAAGTTACATCTAAAAAGTTGGGGTCAGGGGTCAAAAGCCCTCATTAACAAACCTTGCTTGCAATGTATATACACACAAAGTTGGTCAAGCCCATAGAGACTGAAAACTTTAGGTAAAGGACTCTGACTATCTAAAGTGACTTGAGGACAAATGTTCCTATGACTTTGAAAAGATTTAATTCCAAGAGAGAAGTGGCCTAGTTGGCCAATTAACACTTTCTAATCCCTTTTTGTAAAATCTACAGCATATGAATGTAGACTGGCTTGGTAAAGATTATGGATTTAAAATTCAGCACTTACCTTTTGTGCCTTTTAAGCAGAAAATTGTGCCTATCATTTCCAAACTGGCCATTTATAGAGTTTGAAAGTAAAGCACATGTACTGACAAATATACCTAGTGTCTAAAATGACCAGTCATTATCTCAAAAGGAAATTCTCAGCTGAGGTAAGTGAGTCCTAAGGAGTTGCACCACCTTGACTAAGCTGGCCAGACGAGCTGGAGACTTAGTGTTCCTGAGATCTCTACATAAATATGCCCCAAGATTACAATCATTTGTCTAGACCAGAGTCCAGATTCTGGCTTCTCTTTGTGTCATTGTTCCTATATCTGAGATCTTCCTTTGCTTTGTAATTCTAGTCCTGAAATCTTTCAGTGCTGGTGGTGTGAGAGCTGACACATTTTCATTTATAGCAGAACCCAGGAATTCTCAAATTCAGGAGTTTCTCAGGGATGCTGTGGCTGTCTGTCAAGTGCTGAGGCTTCCTGCCAACAACTGGAAGAGTCTTGTAAGGTCTTGACTCCATACCATATACAACATCTCTCCATTTCACAGATGATGAAGCAGAAAAGCCCAGAGATTAATGGCCATCTCTATGCTGCTGTTCCTAAATTTGTGTCTCTAGCCCTGTCTAGCCTCTAGTTCTAGGCTCCTATATCCAACTAGAGTATGACAGAGTCATCTAAATTTAGCTGGTTCACAATGGACTCTTCCTACCCACTTCCAGGCTCCCCAACACAACATCTATCCAAACCCACACCCAAAACCTTCAAGCTCTTCCCCTTCCCTCAGAGCAATCCTATTTCCTCCTGTGGCAAATAAATCTCAAATCTGTTCCCTTGTACTTATCTTCAAACTGCCCCTAGTCCAACTCTCTGCTGCTTCTGCCCTCTCTATTCTTAAGAATTAAGAGTGTATTCTTAATACACTCTATTCTTACTCAGCAACCAGACACTCCTGTGATCAGTCACTCCCTGCCGCACGGGTTTCCCACAGCCCTAGATTATTAAACCCAGACTCTGAGGCTGCACCGCCAGACCGCAGCCCACAGAAGAGTTTTGTTTGGAATATCTAGGGGAGGACTGGGGACTAATGGTGTCCCCTATGGTCCCACCTGCCACTTGACTCCCAAGCGTCAAAGTGAGATAAATGAGGAAGCTCCCAGAGGCTACCCTAGTCAGGTCTTTGGCCCTATAAGGAAGGCCCTCTCTAAAGGCAGGTTGTTGTAACCTCCTTATGGCAGGACCCAGACTTCTGCTTTAGAAAGCAGTGAAAAAAGCCAGTTCTGGCTCACTTAAACAATCTCTGCTTCAGTTTATCTATCTGTGAAAAGGAGATAATAACCCTAATTACCTGAGAGGGTTCCTGGGAGAATGAAATGAGCTCTAAAGTACTTACCACAGCACACAGTAGGCGCTTAATGCGTCAATGAAAGCTCTTGCATTCTAAGGAACCGACAGACAGTGCTGACCAAAACTGGACTCGCTCATAAGACGCTGAATTCTCTGTCACTAGTATGTGCACACATTTACTGAGCTAAAGCGCTACTTGGTGCCCACAGGATTTTTGTGACCGCAGAAATCTGGCCTAGGTCTTAAAGTCCCTCCAGCTTCGAGTTTTGCCCTTGGAGCCTGACTTCTGGTCCCCGCGCTTCAAGCAACACCACCCAAGAATGTGTCCTCGGTCAGCACCCCGGGGACCAGAAATCACCGAAAATTAAGTTCATTGGAGTCCAACCCAGGCAAAGAGGCAAGCCAGCCCGGCGAGAGGTGAAGGGACGCGGCACGCAGGCGCCGCGCTCTGCCATTGGTCAGCGCCAGCAGGGAGGAGGGACCGTTGACGTCGCAGCCCGGCTGTGTTGTCATTCGGCGGCAGCTAGAGGACACGGTTAAGATGGCGGGGGTGTCTGGGCTGGTACGGAGACCCCTTCCGCAGGTAGGCGGTGGCGCGTGGACCCTATGACCCTGCGCGATCCCTGCCCACCCCGCATGCCCTCTAAGCGTTTTTTTTTTTCTCTCTCCGCCAGGTTTGCGGACTGCTGAGGAGGCGCTTTCACCGGACGGCGCCGGCGGCGCTGCAGGTAATTGGCCAAGACGCAGGCCGTGGCGGGGAGCGGGTCCCCTCCTCCCGGGCTGGTAGCTGGGGTCGCGCCTGCGCAGTGGCGGGTGGGCGCTGTGCGGGGTGGCTGCACTGGCCTTGGAGTCCATGGACCCCCCTGCATCCTGCCTGGGGCTCCTGCTGCCTTTGCTGCGGCCCGGCAACAAACAGCAGCATATTATCCCCTGGATCCTCATTAGAATCCGTTGTGCGACATGGGGAAACTAGACTTGACACTTTTCCCCCAGACCACCCCCCTTTTCATTTTCATTGTGGTAGGATATGCGTAACAAAATTAACCGTTTTCAAGTGAATATTAAGTCCATTCACCATGTTGTGTAACCATCACTACCAGCCATCGCCAGAACTTCATGTCTAACAGAAACTGTGTAGTACCCACTAAACACAAACTCAGCGTTTCCCCTTAGCCCCGGTAACTACTCTATTGCACTTTCTGTACCTGTTCTAGGTACACCCTGTGAGTGGAATCATGCAATATTTGACCTTTTATATCTGGCTTATTTTTCACTTAGCATAACGTTTTCAGGGTTCATTCGTGTTGTGTCAGAATTTCATTGTTTTTAATGGCTGAATAATTCCATTGCATGTATGTATCACATTTTGTTTATATATTCATCGGTTGATGGACATTTGGATAGTTTCTGCCTTTTAGATTTGTAAGTAATGCTGCAGTGAACATTGGTGTGCAAGAATCTGAGTTTCTGCTTTCAGTTGTTTTGGGCATATATTAAGGGGAATAGTTGGATTATATGGTAATTCTATGTTGAACTTTTTGAGGACACTCCCCCTTTTTTTATTAGAACATTCTGCCAATCTATATGGTAAAACAACTCCTAGATCCTGAAGGCAAAGTATTTGGTAGTGCCTGGCACCCAGTGAGTGCTCAATATGTAAAATTATTTAGGCTTCCTTAACAGTTCTTTAAGTATGGAAGTAAAACAACCCAGTATACTTTCTGCATATTAAGTTTCACCTATGAACTGGTCTGACCAACAAGCAGATCTTTTAAGTGTAAGTATGCATCCAGCAAAGTGTTAAGTAAGCTTCTTATTAACATCTCCAATAAAGACTAGCTATGTGTGATAGAAGTGTTACTTTTAGAATTCTTTGACCTTTTAAAGAGAAACCTGTTCTAGAGATAGTTTTTATATTATATGCTATAGGTATCCTAGGTAATTATAAGAGAATCTCAATCATATCCAAAATAATCCTGTAGCTTACTGAAAGTTTCCCTATACCTGTGACAGGTGACAGTTCGTGAGGCTATAAATCAAGGCATGGATGAGGAGTTGGAAAGAGATGAGAAGGTATTTCTGCTTGGGGAAGAAGTTGCCCAGTATGATGGGGCATACAAGGTAACCAAGATACGTGAAAATTATACAAAATTGAGGTGACTGTCTGCCCCCATACATGCTTAAAAGTAAAGGGGTCAATGCTTAATTTTAGGTTAGTCGAGGCCTATGGAAGAAATATGGGGATAAGAGGATTATAGACACACCCATATCTGAGGTAAGCTTTCCACCAGAAAGCAGACAAGGGCACATCTGTTAAAATGTACACAGTTCTAATTTTTATGGGTTTTCATGTTTGTATTTTATTTTATAGATGGGCTTTGCTGGAATTGCAGTAGGTGCAGCTATGGTATGAATCTTTGTGAATCTCTTCCAAAGAGATTTTTAATGTGACCTTTGAAAACATTATTTGAATGTCGTAAGTGGGTGACCCTCTTCATTGCTGTTTTAAGTTTTTTTAACATCTGTGTTTTTTATTTGACAGGCTGGGTTGCGGCCCATTTGTGAATTTATGACCTTCAATTTCTCTATGCAAGCTATTGACCAGGTTATAAACTCAGCTGCCAAGACCTACTACATGTCGGGAGGCCTTCAGCCTGTGCCCATAGTCTTCAGGGGGCCTAATGGTGCCTCAGCAGGTGTCGCCGCCCAGCACTCACAGTGCTTTGCTGCCTGGTATGGTCACTGCCCAGGCTTAAAGGTAGTCAGCCCCTGGAATTCAGAGGATGCAAAAGGACTCATTAAATCAGCCATTCGGGATAACAATCCAGGTTAGTAGGTTAATACTTGGTTCTCTTGTGAACATTGAAAAACTATAGTGAAACCTTTGAATGGAAGGCACCAATAAAGGCTTTCGGTTAGGCTTAGAGGTATCATATAAAATGCCAATAATTTACAAATAGCATAAAGATAGTAAAAGATGTTTTTCTTATTTCTGATTATATGGGGGCCAGTTAGGTAAAGGAGACTTTACTGCATACCTACAACACTGATTTAACCTCCATAAATAAAATTAGGATTTGACCAGACTACAAATGTCAGTACTAACCCATCCTCAAGGGTACTAGACACAATAGACAGAGGGCTGCCTAATCAGCACAGTGAAACTTCTCCCAGAATGAAGGATAGTGACACTCTTCCTCCTGGGAGCATGCTCACACCTCTTCCAAGGCCTGCATCTTCTAAACTCTAAGGGTCCGCCCTCACAAGACTTGCAGTGAGGGGAGCAATGGACAACGGCAGCTCAACCAGGGCTAACCCCCTGACTCTGTCTCCGAGCCCCCTTTTCTCTGATTTACCAATGATCCAAAACAGCCCCGCCTAAGTTCATTTCTTTCCTATAACATTTCTAGGGAGCCAAAGCAGCCCAGCCGAGGCTCTCCTGTTGCTTCTTCTATTCTAAGCCCTTCCTTGTTTCACTGTCCCTAGCTTTAATAAATGTGCTACCAAAAAAAAAAAAAAAGGAATGATAGTGTTCGGTATACATGTTTAGTCATGTGTGACTTTCATTTAAATATTTGTATTTCGCAGTGGTGATGCTAGAAAATGAATTGATGTATGGAGTTCCTTTTGAATTTCCTTCAGAAGCACAGTCAAAAGACTTTCTGATTCCTATTGGAAAAGCCAAAATAGAAAGGCCAGGTAAGAGAATTTGGTGTACATTTAAACAATTATTTGTAATCCAGCCTATTTGTGTTACTCAGATTCATCCTAGACTGTATTGCCTTTTACTTTGACAAGGGAATTATAGAATGAGTTCAAGTTAAGAATGTGTCATGTCTTAATGGCTCATACAGTGCCTGCTCATACAATTGTACTTTTCTAAATCCTAATCCAGAAGATTTGTATTTATTTTTTTTTAATTGTTTATTTTTACTGTTTAAACTTCAGTCACCTTCGAAGTACTCTCCATTTGATGCAATTCACCTATTGAGATGTTTTTCCACTGCTCAAAATAGTTTTTGAACTTCTCAATTTTGATGCCTTTTAGGGCTTCTGCCATTTTTTCTCTTAATTTTCATAACAGAAAATTTATTAAAGAATTGCCTTTTATTCTGTGACTTACTTGCCCCATTTCTGGGTTAAAATTCTGAGGTTTTTAAATATATTCTATTGATTATGCTATTACAGTTGTCCCATTCTTTTCTCCCCTTAATTTCCCCTCTGCCCTGTACCCCTCCTCCCACCATCATTCCCCCACCTTAGTTCATGTCCATGGGTCATACATATATGTTCTTTGGCTTCTCTATTTCTCATACTATTCTTAACTTCCCACTCTCTATTTTGTACCTACCATTTACGCTTCTTATTCCCTGTACCTTTTCCCCCATCCTCCTCCCACCCGCTCCCCACTGATAACCTTCCATGTGATCTCCAGTTGTATGATTCTGTTCCTGTTCACGTTCTTTGCTTAGTTCGTTTTGTTGTGTGTTTTTTCTTTTTCAGGTTCAGTTGTTGATAGCTGGGAGTTTGTTGTTATTTTACTGTTCATAGTTTTGATCTTCTTTCTCTTAGATAAGTCCTTTTAACATTTCATATAATAATGTCTTGGTGATGATAAACTCCTTTAACTTGACCTTATCTGGGAAGCATTTTATTTGCTCTTCCATTCTAAATGATAACTTTGGTGGACAGAGTAATCTTGGATGTAGGTCCTTGCTTTTCATGAATTCAAATATTTCTTTCCAGCCTTTCTTGCCTACAAGGTTTCTTTTGAGAAAGCAGCTGATAGCCTTATGGGAACTTCTTTGTAGATAACTGTCTCCTTTTCTCTTGCTGTTTTTAAGATTTTCTCCTTCTCTTTAATCTTGGGTAATGTAATTATGATGTAACTTGGTGTGTACTTCCTTTGGTCTAACTTCTTTAGGACTCGCGGAGCTTCCTGGACTTCCTTCCTGGAAGTCTATTTTCTTAGCAGGATTAGGGAAGTTCTCTTTATTTTTTCAAATAAGTTTTCTGTTTCTTTCTCTTCTTCTTCTTGGCAACCCTATGATTTGAATGTTGGAACATTTAAAGTCGTCCTGGAGGTTCCTAAGCCTCTCCTCATTTTTTTGAATTCTTGTTTCTTTATTCTGTTCTAGTTAAATGTTTACTTATTCCATCTGGTCCAAATTGTTTATTTGAATCCCAGTTTCCTTCCTTTCACTGTTAGTTTCCTGTACATTTTTCTGTATTTCACTTTCATAGCCTTCACTTTTTCCTCTATTTTGCAACCATATACAGCCATTTCTGTGAGTATCCTGATTACCAGTGTTTTGAACTCTGCATCTGATAGGTTGGCTGTCTCAATTTTTTTGTTTTGGCACCCCTGTTAAATAGTAAGGGGTGGAGCCTTAGGTGTTCACCAGAGGGGGGCAACCCACATCCCTGTGTTGTGACGCTGCATGTGGGGGAGGGGCCATAGAGGGAACAGTGCCACTTGCCCAGCTCTCTGCTGGCTTTCAGCTACTTCCTCCACTAGCCACAAGCAAATCAGGCCCTTCTGGTGCTGATTCCCAGGTGGGTGTTTTGTGTACCTTCTAGGACCCTGTGGGTCTCTCCAGCAAACTCTCCTGTGAGGCTGGGAGTTTCTTCCACTGCTGCAACCCCCACGGGTTTTTTCCGTCAGAGGTTTTGAGGCTTTATTTCCCTGCACTGGAACCCTGAGTTGCGTGGTCTGTCTCACTCCCCAGTTCTTCTTCCTGGTTTATCGGAACACAAATGTGGGACTGCCCATCTGCCAGCCACAGCCTTGATTCAAATCCTCTCTGCCTTGGCTGCCTGTCCCCGCCCCTCGTTGTGGTCTGGATGAATGTTCTCCTTTAATTCCTTGGTTGTCAGACTTCCATACAGATTGATTTTCTGGCAGTTCTGGTTATTTTTTTAATTTGTTGTTGTCCTTTTGCTTGTACAAGGAAGTAAAGTGTATCTACCTATGCCTCCATCTTAGCCAGAAGTCTGTATTTCATTTCTAAAAAGGTTGCCACATTCTTCACATCACTGCAATGAAGCTGAGTTGAAGGTTGTACAAATCAACTTAGTTTCAATCTGACCTCTGATCTGTGACCACTTTGTTTCAGGGACACATATAACTGTAGTTGCCCATTCGAGACCTGTGGGCCATTGCTTAGAAGCTGCAACAGTGCTGTCTAAGGAGGGAATTGAATGTGAGGTAAGTGGACATTCAATTCTAAAAAAAAAAATCAGAAAGGTTTCTTTTAAATTTAAGACCCAGACATAGTTTGAGTTCTATAACAAGATGTAAAATATTGCTTTGTCACTCAGTTCTACCCCTGCTTAAAGCTGGGAATCTGCTTGCTTTCTCAATACATAGTTTTTTACCACCTACTGCTCTAGATCTTTTAGAATAGTACCGCTTTCTCAAGTTAAAAATCCAACCTCGGAGCTGGAGGTTGGGGAAGGGGAAACTTAGAAGTCAGTGAGTCTAACCCTTTCATATCTGGGACCTGCCACTTGTTAGTTACACTTGGGCAAACTATGTACAGTAAATCTCAAAAGACATGGAGTGACAGAGGAGCTTTGACAGAACAGCAGAGGGACAGCTGGCCACAGAGAGCAGAGAGGTAGGGACAGTATGTTTTCCGTCTCATCGTGGCGGTTATGAGAAATTACACTTAATGTAGTGCCTGGTACATAGTAAACAGTCAAATGTGAGTTATTATTTTGATGAGAAGGAAGTTAAAGCCAAGGGAGGTAAGTGAATTCTGTAATTTAACAAGAGCTACTTATAGTAGAGGTAAAGATGTTGGTTTTAATTAAATTCCCCTCTTACATCTTATATATGAATTGGCATATTAGATTTTCCTAGACTCAGAGACTTACAGGAAACCAAAAAAAAGTGGTATTGTGGGAATAAGACAATATTTATGATGCAGTGGCTCTCTAAAGCCTTGTTATCTGTTCAGGTGATAAATATGCGGACCATCAGACCAATGGATATTGATACAATAGAAGCCAGTGTCATGAAGACCAATCATCTCATAACTGTGGAAGGGGGCTGGCCACAGTTTGGAGTAGGAGCTGAAATTTGTGCCAGGATCATGGAAGGTATTGGACTTTAAATTTGTCAGCTTGGCATTGGGGGGGGGGGGTCGGTGCACGGGGGAGCAGTACATTTTAAAAAGCAAAACCAGAAACAATCCCCAGTAATTAGTATTCCTTTAGATTTTTGTATTGGGACAGCTACACTGTTTGTGTCAGGGTGTTGGTGTGCAGCTGGCTTTTCTTGCCGCTCTCTCAGCTAAGGCTCCCCCCCCCCCCCCAGGCCCTGCATTCAACTTCCTGGACGCTCCTGCCGTTCGTGTCACCGGTGCTGACGTGCCTATGCCTTATGCCAAGATTCTAGAAGACAACTCTGTACCTCAGGTTAAAGACATCATATTTGCAATAAAGAAAACGCTGAATGTCTAGTTTGGACTTGAATGTCAAGTCATTGGGATTTATTTAAAGTACTTGCTGACACTACCTGGATTGACCTTATGATACATAAATGTTTTTGTACAGGGAAGAGGTTTAAATGTGCTCGTATGTGGAAAAACTCCATTCTTACTGCCTGAGACTACATGCCTGTTTTTTGTCTTTACAATTGCCGTTTCTTTGAATAAGACCAATGTAAAATTGTACCCTCTCACTGGAAGGACAGGGTGTGACAGTGGCAGAATCCTGATGAAAGATTTATCCAAAAAAAGGCAACTATATGTAAAAATAATAGCATATGATCTACATTTCCTGTTACATTGTTTTGATAAGGAATAAAGGAATTCCTAACTATGAGTAATTGTATTTTTATGTTCTTGAAAATAACTGTGGGGTGGAAGTCTTAAAATTGTACTAAGAAATCAGTGTCATCAGGAACTGATTGTTAATGATCCTAGACCGCATCACAGTGACAACAGGAACTTGTCCACAGACTCTTCAGATACCTAATTCTAACAGGGTTCTCCTCAGAGTTAAAGCGTAAGTTTTGTCAGGCGTTTTCTCACTGCCAAAAACAGACTTCCTGGCATACATCGCCCTCTTCAGAAGCTGAGGTGGAAAAGACAGGTTTAAATTGGTTGTGGAGGCATACAGGTGGTGCAAGGCAGGAATGTCAGCTCTTAGTACAGAGGGAAAATGCAACAGGTAAGAAAGATCAGATAGGTGGGAAGAAAACGGTAGAAATTCTGTGTGGATCTGGTCTTTGTTTACAAGTGTTACTACAAAAAATTTCCATTTGAAATCGTAGCCAAGCTACAGACAACCCATTTTCTTCACATGATTTATTTTAATAAAAAATACAGGTGAACATATTTATCACAGATTACATGAAACTAGAGACAATGACATTTTCTCTGCATAGTAACCAACACTGATGTATTTGAACTTTTAAATGGATTACTTGTAATCCTTTAAAGTGCAATTTATTTAAGGATTTAAGCAAATCATAGGATAAAGGGTCCTTCTAGTAAATGAGTAACTTTTAAAGATGATGTATTTGAATAAATCAAAAATCATAATTCTATAAATGCCAAACTCTCATGTGTTGTAACACTAATTCTCCACAAACCTCAAACTTAATTGCTGAGGAGTAATACCTTGCAGTTGGCGAGAGCATTTTCTGATGGTAACATTTTTTTGTTTGATACATTCTAACTAGAAGGAGCTATATGAGTCCATCGTAGTTGCTTTAGCAGCCCTGAGTTCCATAACCACAACAGTATTCTGTTTGAGCGGAAAACGAGGAACTCAGCTGCTTCTCTGACTCAGCCACACAACTATGCTTTAGGCTACAGTGTTAATGTCTAAGGTGAAATTAAGGTAGCAAAAATGGAAGTTAGAATCTAAGAGACAACCAGAAAATGCTTTAGAGAAATAAACTATGAAAGGAACATTTCCAGGAGCTTGTCTGATGGGATAGGGAGGATTGCAACACAGGCCATCCACTGCTGTGACTGTATATTGTCATTGTTTCTGTCCGCTTCTTTCAATTGGTAGAAATATTGATTCTGATATGCTGCTTCCCCCAAAAGATGCCCATTAGAGGATGAACAACTTTAAAATAGTAATAAAGGAGCAAACTATTCCTTTGCTCCTGACTTTAATCTACTCAAAGAATATTTCTCTCTTCAAAAGCCCTGTACATGAGCATCTGCAAAATAGTATATCTCTACTGGCTCAGCAATTAACTCATCCAGGAGAGTCAGTCCTTCAGTGGTAGGAGGTGGGCAGGGAGAAAACAAAAACCAAAAAACTTCCCTCCAAGTGTAAACATGAAGCTTTAGCCAATCTTAGGAGCACTGTGATCACAGGTTTCAGCTTTCCTCAAAGTTCCTTTTTGGAAATTCTGGATGGAGCTGAGTAAGGCCCCTCGGCTCACGCCATTCACAGCCTGGGGCTGGAGCTGTGTGGGCACCTCTGTGCTCGAAGGAGACAAGGGAGCTGCTGGTGGTGGAGGCGGAGGTGGAGGCGGTGGAGGTAACGTGGAAATCCCTGTGGAGGAGAAAGGGGACAGTCAGCATCCCCTCCCAACATCCGGCATGCATGCTTCTGCTCAGTCCTGGGCAGGACAGACTGGGGAGGCTGCGAGTGGTTTCCCTTGGAACAACCAAGATGTTCAGTACTGTATGCTTTTTAAAATACCGAACAAGAAAGCTAGAAGCATCAAAGGGAATTTCAGGTTTGCCATTTCCCCCAAATAAGTCATGTGAAGACTTACTTGTCTGTGAACAAATATCACAGATTACATGAAACTATACATAGTGACATTCTCTCAACATAGATGGATGAGGCTTTAAGACCATTTCCAAATTTTCGTAATGGTCCCCAAAGGAAAGTCCCATCAGCTACTTCAGCCAGGTCCCGGATAGCTCCACCTACTCCTGAGCTAGCAATTAAAGATACACATCTGGATGCAGCGTTGGGCTACCTGAACATCAATAATCAAGGGTGAACAGTTCTTAGCTGCTGTAACACACACACACATATATTTGGAGGATGTGATTTAATATAAAATGAAAAATTAGTATTCTTGGCAAAGAACTAGTGCCTGCCAGGTTATGAGTTCCCCAGGGGCATCTGTCTCAAAAAAGCATCTTCTATTAGGATGCATTAAAGAAATATAAAAATCTAATAATTCTTCCATTGCAAAACAGCCAGCACAGGGCTTCCTTTCCCCAGCAACAGTGTGCTCATGGGGGAGTTTTCCCCAGCACCCTTCCTTCCACCGTGGCCCAGTCCAGGAACGGAATGTAATTGCACTAACCCCACATCTTTGCTGAAGCATCAGGTGAGACCGCAATTCTGAGCTCTACCTTAGAGGGCAAGGAGAAGGGAACTGGACAGGTGCCTACAACTTCCCTTAGCTTCCAGGCACACAAACATTTGGCACTTGAACTTTACAGTTCTGAATGAATAAATGAAAATAAACACTGAGTACGGAAAAAGCCCTACCTTAAGGAACCTGACTGTGCCAGAGTTAGTTGCCCCATTTCTCATGAACCTTGCAGCTCTTGGTGACTCCCACATCTGCGTCTAGCCTTACCCTCTACCTCTTCCTAGGGCTACACAAAGGAGATACTCTGCTAGACAAACGGCTACTGAGTTGTGGTGTTAACAAGGAAACATGCCAATCACCCTTGTGTTTATTTGGATGAGCAGTTCAGGATCTTCAATAAAATACTTAGTTAAGTGCATGACAGGCAATTGTTAAAAATCACGTTTCACAGAAAACCACTTACCTTTCTTTATATCTTTACCCAAACCTAAGGCAGCTGAAATTAAAGAATGACAGATACACGCACTCATGCTCTGCAACCTTGAAATTCTCAAATGATGATATGTCAATACAAATAAACATGAAGAACAAAACATAATTTCTATTGGTTCTATACAACAACAGATAATGAATGAAGTTCGATTATGTTCTATGCCAAGGAGGAGTGTGGAAAAACGCTCCTGGCTTTATGGCACAGGGTTATAAAGATAAAAGGACTTTAAACCTGAATGAGTGTTGAAGTGAGAAGAGCAGTGTGTGTGACAGCATTCCTCTGAAGGGGGTTTTCAGAGAGTGACTAGTGAAATACCAGGGGAGGGGTGCTGCCTCTGAAGGCTCATGAAGATAACTGCAGTGCAGAGAGCCTGCAGGAGTGAGCAGGCACCAATGTCCCCCACCTCCATCCAATGACAAAAAAAGGGCAGCAGAATCTGGACTTGACATTCAGGGCCCCACATGTACAGATGAGCATCAGCGTTTCTGCCTTCCATCTTTGTACTCTGAGCCAGTCAGAGGAGTCCCTGTGAGTTACAGGGACTCCTGAGTCTGTGAGTCACAGATGAAAAGGCAGGCTCTGAGCTGCAACAGCACTAGTGTCCTCAAGACAAGGAGCTGGCCATCCAGAGACAGGCAGCCCTCCCGCCCAGGTTCTGGGTGGCTAGAAATGAGCCGGGGGCCGGGGGGGCTGGATTTGAGTACAGGCTGCCATCTGGAACAAAACTGCTTGGCCTTCACAAGGAACCAACGCTTGACTTTGGCCTCATTACCAGGAGCTCAAAATTAGAATTGCAAATTTACTATCACAGCATTTGGGAATTGGGAGTTGTGTTCAGTAAATGGATCTTCATTTTCCAAGCAAAGGCTGGATTGTTACCACTTTCAATGAAACTGAATACACAGGTAGTATAAATAAATGGACCAGCCCAAGTGCAACAGGGCAACCTGTGTCTGTAAAGCACATAGGATGCTGAGGGCTGTGCAAAAGGAGAGGCTGTCACCCAGGGGTATAGAGCAAGGTCACAAGGTCACCCTGATGTCCATTCACAGAAGGCCAGACCAATCCCAAAGGGCCTGATGTCCCATGATGTCCACTTTTCCTCACTGGGCCTGCAATAACAAGGGCAGATCTTGATGTGTATACTTAGGATATGGGAACTCAGCTCGCAGGCTCAGAGCACTTGGTGGGGAAGGACCAGGAGCCAGGACGTCAGCAGTGGAGAAGGCAAGAGCACAGACCCTAGGACTCACAGTCTCTGACAACAGGTCCATCCAATTTTGTATTGCCTATCTTTTTCTTTGTCTTTTCTGTGGTCCACGAGCTTCCTCTAAAGGTTCACTGGGGCTTCAGCTACAACAGACTGGTAATAAAGTGGGGAAGGGAGGAATGGTAACAAGGGCCAAACTCAGAGTTGACTCCTTGGCCCGTGACAAACCTGAGAACAACAGTGGACGCTCGAGTTCCCCTGTTCCTCACATGTGAATCTGTTCCTCCCCAGCAAGAGGCTTCTGCTTGCCATTATCCCTAAGGCCGCAGACAAAACTGGACACCTTCCATGTCAGAGTGATCACTAACCAGATTCACACAGCTTTGAAAAATAGTGTTCTGCAGCAACTCAGGATGAGGGATGCTCCAAAACAGCTTGCCTACAGTTATAACCTGGTCAGCCTTAATGTCTCTAATCTCACTTTTTCTTAGACAAAAACCCCAAGAGCCAACTATTATACCCTTCCCAAAATCCTGTTCACCAACCAAATGGAAACCTGGCAGTCCAGTCGGGGCCCTGGAACAGGCCACCAGCTGCTGCAGCGAGGACACAGGTTGGATCCAGGCAGGAACGCCTTGCCAGAGCATCCCTGCCAGCCTTGTGGGAAGGACGTCTCAGGGTCCTCTCTCCTGGGCCAACTCAGCAATCTACAGGAGTGTGCAGATCTGAGTTCCTCTGCGGTCCACACGGAGAGGTGGGGAGGCCACAGGGCCACAGACCAACAGCAGACACTGCCCTCATCTTTTGCCTCAGACAGA